GATCTCGATTGTCATATAATTGCAAGGGTCTGTCGCTAGTTCCCTTAGGACACGATCAATCAAATAGACCGGTCTCGGTTGGCTCAAAACATTCCCTCGTCAATCCATATGGTCGAAGATCGAACCCAGGTGGAGTTCTTTGGTCGTGCGAACTCAATCCCGTAATAGCTCTACCCCTAAGGTTAGCATCCCGTGAATGCGCTGTTCCGGGTGAGATCTCACTATAGTCCATTGGTCAAATTCATTTCTTAAATCTCGGGAAAATGATCGAAAATTCAGACTGTTACAATGCCCTTACCATAGGATCAAATCCCTAGTAGTAAAGAAGCGACGACATTTCTTTGTACTTTCGTGATTATCAACTGCTTTCATAACATATAGATATTTATTTTTGTGGCTTATCAATGTCTCTGAAATTATTCACTTTCATTCAAAATTACCATGATTCATCATATTAAGATGCCAACTAAATTTTAATCACTTACCAACTTTTTATCTTGCTTGGTTTAAAAACGTGCCAACATTTCTTTATACTTCAAAGATAACTAACTACTTTAATATCCGAAGATATTTATTCTTGTGTCTTGCCAACGCCCTGGAAGTGCTCACTTTTATAAGAAATTACCAATCATAATTTAATTGAAGTATTAGCATTCATCAGCAACTGATTTTAGTCACTTGACAATTTTTTACCTATATTTCTTTGTACTTTAAATACTACTAATTACTTTAAAATTCTACCTACATTTATTTTTATGGCTTATTAATGCCGTGGATGTTACCATCCTTAATTTGACTATCCTACCGACATTCCTCACATTAATATAACAACTAACTATAACCACTTATCAACTTTCTGTCTTGTTAGGTTTTGAAAAGTACCGACAAAATTACCGACTCCTATGATAATTTCCCAACATTTAATCTTGTGGCTTAGCAATGCCTTTCCAGTTATTAACTTTTACTTGAAATTTCCAACCTTAATTTAAGTAAGGCACCAACATTTCTCATATTAAGCCACCAACCGATTATAGACACGTATGACATTTTTATCTTGTTAAAAGTACCGACATTCATTTATACTTTCGAGATTACCAACTGCTTTAATAATCTAGCAACATTTATTATTGTGCCTTATCAACACCTTTAATTTACTAACTTTTTTTTTTTCGCAATTACCAACCATAATTTAACCTCTTTTGATGTTGAATTGTTCTATCTCTTTCATTGTGATATGCACTCGCTACCAAATGTTGGATGGCACCGATAATCCCTTGGACTAGAAAGGACGATGAAGTAGTTTCACGACCGTTGTGATTAGACCCACCGTCGTTGGTGAAAAACTCATCCGCCCAGCTTCGCTCGTTCAACGACTCTAACTAGGCGAATATGATAAGTCTGGAACCTTCCAACCTCTAGGCTTAGGATCAAATCTACTTATTTAGCATCATGACTCACATGACCACGGAGTGAGCACAAACTCCAACGATTCAAAATGAGCCAATTGATTGTCTTCCCCAATTTTGTAGAAAAGAAGACTTCCAATATATTTGCGTCCCTTCTCGTCTTTGACATTTCCATGTGATTTTGCAGATATTGGTTTTCGAAAAAGACTTCCCACTCTCTTTGCAAATCCATTTATATCCCAATTCAAGTTGTATAAAGATTGTAAATAATCTAATAACAATGTTCAAATCCTCATAATCTAAAAATACATCTAAAGCGTTCATGACACAGCTGATGGCAGCTATGAAACATGTCTCCTCTCCTGATCCAGGGCCGATCAAAATCCTAGTTTGGAGGACGAATTTGTTAGATTTTATGAGTCTTAAGTGTCGTCAGACTTAAATCTTAGTTTTTATGAGTCTCAAGCGGGATGTCAGTTTTTAGTCTTAATTTTTACGAGTCTTAAGTGTGTTGTCAGTTTCCAGAATCATTAAAGTTTTCAATAATTCCAAGAGTCATTTTTCGTTGCTTAATTGAGTCCCTCTGTTCATCAAACGAGCCAACAGCCATGGAGGAGAAGTGGCCGAGCCCGCCGAGATATGGACGGCCCATGATCGTGGAGCTTGCTGAGATCTCGATGATCTCGTCTTCAACTTTCAATACCATTCGGCTTCAACTGCCTTTTTTTATACTTCTAGTTACTGTTCATCTTCTTCACCACAAGTGCTCTCTCTCTCTCGTTAAACCATTCATAACTTTTTTTTTCGGTCAATTTTTATGTCCCTCTTCTGCAGTGGACAAAAGTTCAATAGTTTCAAGAAAAAAAAAATTACCAGGAGGACCAGTGCTAATGAGAAATATGGGAGGTGCCTATTCGTCACTATTAGTAATGATTAGGGCCAAATAAGGTTAGATTTGGTCAAACACAAGCAAATCTAGAACATCCAGGAGGGCCTTAATTTCATAGCAAGTAAGGCCACATTCACATTATTATATCATGTTATAAGAAGAGTAAAATCGGATAATCCTTTCTCTTTTCCGTTGATGAGATCAAGTGAATGACACAACTTTATCTTGCCAAAATGGGAAAACTTTGCTCGTAGCAGATTAATACACGTCACAGTCAATGCTTCTGCCCTCAAAAGTATGGGACCAAGTTCGGAGATTAACCGAATCCTCAGAGATTAAACTTCACTTGTTTTTTTTTTTAACAGAAGAATTGGCCATTCAACAAAACTCTATCGGATATATTGTGTCCTGCCTAATTCTTTTGTTTTTAATAAATAAGAAAGATAATGAATTCACGATCCTTTTAAAAGAGAAAAAACGGCCAAAAACCTAAACTATTCTCACTATGACACATTTACCCTAAATTTTTTTTGTAACACAAAAAATCCTAAACTTATACCCGTGTGACACAGTTATACTCTGTCAAAGTTCTTTTTTTGAGAACCATTAAAAATATGCCTACATAAATGCCAGAAAGCAAACAATATTGACATGGCGCCCACATGACTTAAGTGGAATAAATATGATATTATTTTGGCCGTAAAATCATCTAACAAAACCTTAAAGCAAAATATTTGTCACATAAGTACAAGTTTGGATTTTTTTATGTCACAAGAAAAAATTTAGAGCAAATTTGTCAAATGGGCATGGTTTGGGGTTTTTGATGTTATAAAAAAGTTCATGATAAATGTATTATCGCGGGCATAGTTTGAGATTTTTTGTAATTATTTTACTTTGATATCAACCATCGACGTCACAGATCTCAGCAAAGCAGAAACAAGCGACGTCTCAAATCAATTAAGATTCTGCTTGTCCTTTTCATGCTACCCTTCTCATTTTCATGAGTTGAACTCTTGAGTGTCATACTATCAGTGGAGGTTTGCGCATTCCTTTTTCTTTTTCCTTGGAACAAGGTATAAGACAATCCAATTAATGTAGTAAAACAGTGTAGAGTATTCCTATTTTGAATTATTCGATGTACAAAATTTACTTAATATGCTGATTTTGATCGACATGGAGAAGAAAGAAATATATGATTTTACTAAGTAAACTTTGCATCTATGACCTGATATAATAATGTGAGTGTGACCTTTAATAACTTATTACAAATTTTTACCTCCATCTGGATTTTTTTTTTCATGGTGTTACTACCCAAATCTAACCTCATGTAGAGCCCAATAATCAAAACCAGTAACAAACCCATACTTTCCATATTTCTAAATTAATGGAGATAAGAGAAGTGCAATAGTAGCTAAGCTAAATTAAACTGCCACCTAGTTGATATTTTTCTCGGAATTGTTCAACTTGTGTCTGAATGCATAGCAAAAGTTGGCCAAAAGGTTATGATATTTGAAAACGGCTGAATTAGTCAAGCCAGCAATAGTAGAAGCTTGAGTTCTATCAGCACTCAGGCGACTCCAGTCATCACTAACTAGCTGGAAAATCAGTTCACTCTCTGGTTTGATTAGAACCCCAAACCATTTTCATTCTAGTTCAAAACATCAATACCAATTTCTTCGCATTACTGTTTTACCTCTTCAACTTGCAGTATGAAGTTAGTTATATGTAAAAGATGATGAACGTATAATGTGTCATCACATGACTTGAAACGAGTTGATCCTGCTTTCTGATAAATCTGAATGAAACCATAATTTTGATGGCTCAAAAACAGTTCTTACACGGTCAAGAGTGCCTCAAGGGCACTTGTCGAGGTTCTTTCAATAATTAACTTTGTTAATTGCGTTTTTATCCTTTTCGTATTTTCGTATCCATCGCGTTAATGAGCTGCAGTTTGCTCTTTAAAAACCGGATATTTCTTGCCTTTCCCAGGGAAACATATTGCGCAAGAAATTTTATCCGGTTGTGATTTGTGGCTTGTCTTTCCAGTACCGCATCCCGACTCTTGCACGGTAATGACCATATCAAAGCAGATATCAGCAAATCAAACAAGTTAACTTCTATGATAACAGACACTAATGACCATATCAAAGCAGATATCAGTAAATCAAACAAGTTAACTTTGATGATAACAGACACTAATGACCATATCAAAGCAAGAAATTTTATCCGGTTGTGATTTGTGGCTTGTCTTTCCGTTACCACATGCGGACTCTTGCACGGTAATGACCATATCAAAGCAGATATCAGCAACTCAAACAAGTTAACTTCGTGATAACAGACACTAATGACCACATCAAAGCAAGAAATTTTATCCGGTTGTGATTTGTGGCTTGTCTTTCTGTTACCACATCCGGACTTTTGCACGGTAATGACTATATCAATGCAGATATCAGCAAATCAAATAAGTTAACTTCATGATAACAGACACTAATGACCATATCAAAGAGAGATATTTTATTCGGTTGTGATTTGTGGCTTGTCTTTCTATTACCACATCCGGACTCTTGCATGGTAATGACCATATCAAAGCAAAAATCAGCAAATCAAACAAGTTAACTTCGATGATAACAGACACTAATGACCATATCGAAGCATAATATCAGCAAATCAAACGCATTAACTTCGATGATAACAGACGTCTCCCACTAAGCTGCTATAAAATGGAAGTTCCGCGCTATGTTTTCTTTAATTGTAGAGCTCACAGGAAACATAGCAATTAGCTTCTTAACCTGTGGAGACTGAGCTAAATCTGGCAAAGTACGCCAATACTACATAGAGCAAAATATTAACTTTGATCATCAGAAACATACTGGAACCTTTGGGAGGCCTTCTGTCCACAGCCACGTGACATTTGCGTTTTCTCTTTTAAGTTTCACGAGCAGCGTGAGGAGGCATGGGAGGACTCAAGGTGTCCCTTGCAGCGTGATTCCCATCATACCGCTGCATGCCATGCAATTGTCACGTTATTCTTCACGAGAATTGCATGGAGGGCATGAAAGGACAAGAACTGATCTCAAGAATGCACTTCTATGTTACTGCTTCATGGAATTCATCATTGATGATGTAAATGGGTAGCATAGAAGCATCTTTGTCCAAAGGAAAATCCTCCAACACTGTCAAGGACCGGGCTATCTGACCGGAACTATATAGCAGCCATTTCTCAACAACTCTCTGCTTTGCCAATATGTAGATCTTCTCTTCTTGGAGATCTGGTCTGAAGTAAGTCTCAGCCTGCAAATGAGAGGAAAGAAAGCTGTTATCTCTTTTCTATATGCTGTATGTAGTGATTTGAGCACATCAGCTTTATAAAAATGGCTGTAGCATTTCAGAACTTTACAAAATTTCATAACTCAATCAGAAAATCATGCAAAATACCTTTCATAACTAGCTAAAATTTTTGTTAGGGAACAATTTATTTCGCAATTTTATTTTCTTTCATTCATTAAGATAAGTGGTAGTCAAGTATCACACGTTTTTATTTTTTTTCATTTTCATGAATATTAGGATGCTCTTGCAATTCATGTTTCTGCATAACTTACGTTGTTATTCTATGACCTGTTCCTCAACTGATGCGGCCTTCTGTGCAGACTGTGAAATAGTTGAGGCAGTGAATGCGGTCGACCCCCCAAGATTGTTTCTTTGCCTTGTCCTACAAAACAGTTGAGCTCTGACGCTGGAATGCCGATCTCTGAGGGCCTGAGCAAAGTTTCAATGACTGGAACTCCTGATGGTTGTTGTCTTGTCGATATTCGACTGGTATGACTCAACTGAAAGCATCGAATGGCAGGTTTTGAACTTGATGGAAGATAGAGTTTCTCCAATAATGACCCAAGTCCAGGCAAGGTTCCTTCTCTAACTCAAATGCTTATTTCTTAGCAACTCTGTCATCCAGTAATAGATCTTTGAGAGAAAGGACGTTCAAGTGATTCGCGTTTCTTAGTCAAGGACCAATTCTTAGTACAGAGAATCCAGAAAATAAGCTCCAATTCAAATACCGAAGCTTTAGGCTTCAGTGCACCAAGTCAGGAAGCTGAGTCAAGTCTGTTGTGACTGGCGCTGTTGCGCCCGGGGAGGTAAATTTTTCCTCTTGACTATCATTCATAGAAGATACTTCTGGCCACATCGCAAAGGGGAGGGGCCACCCCACAAATCAGCAATGCAAAGACTAGTTGAGAGATTGCTGCAATACACTCTCAATCAGCTGGCTGGGTGCCAGATGATGGTGGCACAAACGATGCACGCGTACTATTACATACTCAGGAAGGCCAGTCAATCTGTTGCAGTGACCCCATCTTGGCACCCGGAGAACATGATACCGACTCCAAGGGTCAACACATCCTAAAATTGACATGATGTTTTGTCGCAGCTACAAATGGTGGAAAATGATGTGGCCAAGGAGGGTGACCCACGATGTGAAGAAACCAAAGTAAGTTGAGCAATGGCAAGTCATATTTGTTCTATATGTTTGTCACCTACTTTGCCAGATTTAGCTTGGCCTTTATTGGAAGAAGCCAGTTTCAATGTTTCCTTCGTTTTCACAGAAAAATGAGATTCTGAAATTTATAGATGAAAGGCGTTCAAGAGAATTCCGTGAAGAGTCCACACGAGGTATATTCTTTACCTTGCTTATCGTGCGTTAATAAATGTACAAGAAAAGCTTTACCAGATGGAATTTCTTGGGTATTCTGAATTTTTCCCCACATAAATGGCGACATAGTCTTTGAAGAAACAACTAAAGGAGCTTCCCACAATTGCTTCCTTTAAATTTCCTGATGGCAACATTATCTCTTGATATCAACAGAGATAAATTGTATAGCTTGACACGAAAGATTAGCCATCAATAATGCATAATCATTCTGTATCGATAATATCGGACTATTCTGTTTGTCCTGAGCATTTACCAAGATAAAAGTTGAATCAGTTCCTTCCACAATCATTCATAGCAGACTTTAGGTCAAATGTAGTTCATGGTGGCAATTCAGAAAGAAGCAATTATATTCCATTTGTCCGCATTATATCTGCATCTGAAAAAATTACAGGAGGAGCAAACATAGGACACAATTTGTGTCTAATTGAGTTTCAGGAAATTCCATTTCTTTTACAAAGTCTGAGCTGCCAAAAACATAGGACACGATTTGTGTCTCATTGAATTTCTGTAAATTGCAACATCTTTCTTTTACAAAGTCTGAGCTGCCAAAAACACAGGACACGATTTGTGTCTCATTGAGTTTCGGTAAATTGCAACATCTTTCTTTTCAAAGTCTGAGCTTCCTGAGGGTCATCAGTTGTCAATTAGCTTCTTCACAACTCCTTCAAAGATCCCATCTGAGCCAAAGTTGCAATTGGACCGCATGGGATCGACACGACCGGGAAGCTGAAAACAGAGAGAGAAGTGTCCGGGTGGATAAAGGTCTCCTGTTCTGCTCTCAACCACCTTCCCACCCGTTGCTATCTCTCCTCCAATCAAGACCTCACCATCCATGTCATATTCACAACTAAATGCTGCAGCATCCAAAAGGAATTTTCAGAGAAATTCGTTATTACCTCAAGATCACCATATGAAATCGCAAAAGCAGAGATTACTCAAAACTTAGTATTTAGCTTCTTTACCTATAAACATTAACGTTTTGTTTTTTAGGCCATCAGGAACTTACTTTGATCTCTTCTGACCCCTGCAAGTGACACCTGGAACAGGTAACAGTCTTTGGACTCCACAAGGTTCACACGCCAGGTGGTGGATCCTGTACGCCCAACGTCTGCATTCCCAACCACTCCGACTCCAGCACTGCAGGCGGCCACAGCACTGTGAGATTGCACCTCCGTCATACTGAGTGGAGAAAACACCACCTTGGGATCAAGTTGAGCTTTCAAGTAGGTGTCGCATACTCCAGAGAACCATGCCGACGTTGAGGAGGGTGAGCCTTCATGTGGAACCATTTGAAGAGGCTTTACATCTAGAGCCACGTTACTTTTGCATCTTCTTCGGTGAGAACCCTGAGGAGGAATGAAAAAACGAGAATGTCCCTCTGAACGCGCCTCTCGTGCTACCACTTCATAGAACGACTTGTCGGTGACATAAACGGGTAGCTTGGCCGCGTCTTTCTCAAGAACGAATTCCTGCAGCCCAGTCAAACTCTTAAATCTTGCAACAACCTCTTCCTTGAGGTAAGTGGTGCTCGGGTTGATGATGAAGACAATGTTGTCTATCGCCATAAGTCGCTCCTCAACAACTGAACAAGGGTGCAGGTCAGTCGAAAAGAGGTCCATAAACCGAGGGTAGTTGCTCTCAGGACCGAGCACTTTGGGTGGAAGCGTGTTGCGGAAGAACTTAAGCAACAAAGATGGGGCCACTATCACAGATTGACTGGCCTTCCTGAGTATGTAATAATAGGCATGCAGCATTTGGGCCACCATCATCTTGGACCCAGCCAGCTGATTGGGAGTGTATAGTGGCAATCTCTCAACTACTCTCTGCATTGCCGACTTGTGGGCCAGCCATTCCCCTTTGAGATGAGGCCCGAAGTATGTTCCAAAAATGACGGTCAGGAGGAAGCGCTGGTCATCAGTTATCAGGCCTTCGCCTGCAGGAGCAGCGGTAAATGGCACAGCAGCATTCACCGGTTGAGCCATTTTCAATCAGAATCTGAAGGAGAATGCGGTGTCAGTCTGGGAACAGTACATCAGCAAGAACACCTATAATCTTTCTTGGGCTTAATCACTTTTGCTTGACAAGTGAAAGAAATGAAATTGTTGAGCACTACTCGGTATGATGTTCACAGTACTTTCAGTGTACGGGTATATCATGAAAGATTGGCTTATCGATTTCACTTGGAACAATTGTTTTAGAAACCACATAAATCTTTTCAAGTAGATTACTGATGCTCCAACTAGATTATAAATGAATCAATTTTTTACTTCGAAATTAATTTGTGAAAGAGCATGGATCACCGTAGACCATCAAGTCATCATTGGCTCAGATACATAAGTAATGATCTAACAATCTCCAAGGACAATCCAAGGCAATAGCGAGGATATGATGCAAAAGAAAAAAAAAGTTGGTTCACTCACACAAAACAAACTATGCTTCATCAGATCATGCACTCACAATCAGTAAAAGAACCAAATTTTACCCACAAAGAAAATCATGTTTTGGTTCGGTTTTTAAGAAAAGCAAAAATCAACTTGTTGCCCATCATGTGAATACATATTTGCTTCTTCATCATTCTTCACATACAACTTCATGAGCACATCAAAATTTACACAAGAAAAAGAGGGCAAAGTGGCAAACCAGTAAATCTGAAGAACTTGGTTTGATGTTTTGGACCGGAGTAATCGTAGAGCATAGACACTAAATATGGAGTGAAAGCGTTGGGTGTGACGAAAGTACTGGCAGAAGTCGAGCTTATATAGTGCTGGCTTGCCTCTATTAGGGGTAGTCTTGCTATTTAACAGCTTTCCAGATTCACTTTTTTAGTCAAGATTTTATCTTCCTTCTGCGTTCGGACAAAATTTCTATTGATCCGAGAAAAGAAAGTTATCCATACGGACCAATGCTAATCAGTAGGCAACTAAATTTAACTTACCTATTATTACATTGGTTCTTATCTCCAATTGCTGACTAAAATATGCAGCTACCTGTTTGTTATTAGTATTACATATTAGGTCCAAATGAGGTTAGATACGGTCAATCATATCAACAAAATCTAAAAAATCCAGAAGGTCCTTAATTTCATAGAAAATAATTAGGTTTCATACTATATCCCTTTAATGATAAGCCCAATATAGTGAGCAGGATCGGATATTTCTTCCTATTTTAGGCAACATCAATTTAAATGAATTGCTTAAATTCGATTTCTCCAAACATGCTATGTTTTATTACGTTGACGGGTTGACTCAATCATTGTCCAGGGCAAGACTAAAACGAACATGTGAACTGTATAAGGTAAAGTCAGGGTGTAAATTTGTTGTGACAATTAACCATAAAAGGTAATGGCCAATATAAGTAAATAACTATACAAGGTATGGCAAAAATAAAACTAAGCATAAAAGGTGAATTCAAGAATAATAGAATTCTGACAAAAAAATGACAAATATGACACCGAAGTTCAATAACATGCTTTTCCAGGAAAAGGAGAAATTTTGGTTACTTGTGTTGCCCATATATAGAATAAAAGTTCATGTGAATTATATGAATGACAAGAGTAGCATATCCTTTCAATCAAAAAACAAAAATTGGAAAAAGGGAAGACAATCCGAATCTCATATGGATTGAGACATTGCCGTTCTCTGTACTGCTAAGATGTAAAAATTGTCAATGTTTGATATATGCTTTCTTTTACAAGAATGATGAATTGAGTCTCTTCCTTTTTTTACTCTTCCAATCATGATTGCTTGTTCACTTGCCGCGGATCCATACTCATGGGATTCTCTTATCACAATTCATGTTTTATGATATCAGGAGTAATGAATTTCATAGTTTGAGATCATATCCATACAGGCGTTTCTGACATTACGTAAGATAAAAAACGGAACTAGTTACGTGTCAATAAATCATTGATATGGTTAGTGAATGTTAAATGTCTCTAGAGATGAAAGGTCTTGATAACTTAATTAACTAGTTATGTGTTTATAACTTACCAACAAGTTTTGACAAATACAAATACTTTGTCGTACTTAAAAAATTACCAACTATTTTAATAATCTATCAATATTTGTTTTTATAACTTACCCACACCGCGGAGGTTAGAAAATTTTATTTGAAATTTCAAACCTTAATTTAACTTGTGTATTGATATTCATCGTAATAAGACACAAACGAATTTTAGTCACTTACCAACTTTTTATCTTGCTTGATTTTGAAAATCATGTACATTTCTTTATACTTCCAATATTACCATATACTTTAATAATGTACTAGCACTTATTTTTATAACGTACCAATATCTTTGAAGTTACTAACTTTTACTCAAAATAACCAACTTTGATTGATGCACCAACATTCATTGCATTAAAATACCAACTAATGTTAGTCACTTGCCAACTTTTCATCTTACTTGCTTTTGAATAGTAATTACGTTTTTTTTTATAACCCAAGGGCACAATAGTAATTAGTGGGCTACTTAGAATCGAACTAGTACTTAATTCACTACCATAGTCCCCACTTAAATCTGAGTTCCCCATAACAGGAATCAAATCCGCAACCATCGGTCCCTAAGCCAGAAGCACGAGAATGCCCTTACCACAAGGGCAAATCCCTAGTGGTAAAAGAAGTGACAACATTTCTTCATACTTCCAAGATTATTAACTACTTTAATATTTTTGTGGCTTATCAATGTCTTTGAAGTTACTCACTTTCATTCAAAATTACCAACTCTTAATCTGACTGATGTCTCATGATTCATCATATTAAGATGCTAACTAATTTTAGTCATTTACCAACTTTTCATCTTGCTTGGTTTAAGAATGTACCAACATTTCTTTATAGTTCAAAGAAAACTAATTACTTTAATAATCTACAAATGTTTATTCTTGTGTCTTATCGACACCTTAGAAGTGCTCACTTTTATACGAAATTACCAACTTTAATTTTATTGAAGTACCAACATTCTTCGGCAACTAATTTAGTCACTTAACAATTTTTTACCTATATTTCTTTGTACTTCACAGACAACCAATTACTTTAAAAATCTACCTACAATTATTTCTATGGCTTATTTATGCCGTAGAAGTTACTAACTCTATCCAAAATTACCAACCTTAATTTTTTACTATCCTACTTACATTCCTCACATTAATATACCAGCTAACTATAATTACTTATCAGCTTTCTATAATTTCCTAACATTTTATTCTTCTGGCTTAGCAATGCCTTTCAAGTTATTAACTTTTACTCGAAATTTCCAACCTTAATTTGAGAAGACACCAACATTCATCATATTAAGCCACCAATCGTTTATAGACACTTGCGACATTTTTATCTTGTTAAAAGTACTGACATTCCTTCATACTTCCAAGATTACCAACTGTTTTAATAATCTGCCAACGTTTATTATTGTGCCTTTTCAACGCCTTTAAAGTTACTAGCTTTCGTTCGCAATTACCAACCTTAACTTAACCTCTTTTGATATTGAATTGTTCATCTCTATCATTGTGATATGCACTCACTACCAAATGTTGGATGTCACCTATAATCCCCTGGACTAGAAAGGACGACGAAGTAGTTTCACGACCACTGTGGTTAGACCCACCATCATCGGTGAAAAACTCATCCACTCAGCTTCGCTTGTTCGATGACCCTAACTGGGTGAGTATGATAAGTCTGGAATTAGGTTAAGAAAGATCATTAACGAGGAAAAAACAGGCTAGCTCTTCTTTCCTTTATATTACAAGTATAAATAAAGCCTCCTTTTAGCCGTTGATTGTGAAGGCAAAAATGCTCGGTAAAGAACGAGGAGTGAATGAAAATAAGGGGAGAAGTTCAAATACCCTGTTTGGGAGGGCTATAGAAAAGATAGGTGAAGGTTTGGAGTGTGAAAAAACATCTATGGTCCCACCAGAAAGGCATCACCTTCGTAGAGGACCGATAATTTGTGTTCGCGTGTCATGATGTCGTTACAAAACATTGGCCCCCCAATTTACATTATGTAACTTTTGCCTTTATCTTTAATCGATAAGATTATAACAATGGAAAGTGATATTTCATTGATCCAACAAAAACGAAACATCGGACAATTGCGAAGAGATCATGTAGATTGAAAGACTTGGGGAGCTTCGTTGGTTTCCTTTGAGATTAAAGTTAGTTCTAGGATTTCGACTCTAGATTAGACTAGATCATCGAGTTAGACCTTAGTTGAATAATATAATTCTAGGGATATGATTGGATTAGTATCACTTAGACATAGGTTCAATAACTTAGCATAGACATCACCTTTAAAGAAAATAGAAAAGATAAAAATTGTTAGTAATTAGCTTAGTTCAAGTTAGGACTCTCCTCAAAAATCTCTTTTAAGTTTAGAATTAAAATTGGAATAAGAATTTAGGATTAGGATTCAAAATCAATGAATAAGCTCCCAAGAGATCATGTCTTGGGGCATACAAACAAAGCATCATAATATTCTTTGCCTCACACCATATCGGGTTACTTTCCATATTCTATTTACTAGTTTTGCTTACTATTTTTTTTTATGTGTGTTTACATTACTTCATTTATTTAATTGTGTGCTTTTAGTTTAGTTGAATGGTTAGGCTAAAACATTTGGACCATAATCAACTCAAAAACATGGGTGGATCTCTTAGGGTTCATAATATGATAAAAAAATACTGTGTGGACACCTTAGAAAATAAGTCAATCAAGTTGGATACCGAAAGAGCGCTGGTTCAAACAAACTAATGTAATCTCGCATCTCACTTGGCTCCTAACCTGTCACACCCCGAACCCTACAGACACGCAACATCCCGCTATGGTCATTATGATGCGACGACCCAGGACTCGTCGCCGACCCTTTTCTTTTTATCTTTTAATTACGCAAGTGAAAACGATAACCAACACAACAAACCCCAGACAATAATCAAATCAGGGATAGTAGAGGAAAACCAGTTATAACAAAAGCCATTTTTTTTAATCGATTAACCCTGGGAACATACTTACAAGCCCACTTCGGGCGTTTCCACAAAAAGCCAGCAAAAAGATAAAGGCTAGGGTTAAT